GAGTAGATTTAGCGGTAAATATAGTGTGCTTGCACAGAAGGTGAAATGCGGTGAAATTTGCGCGTGAACAAGTAGCCACGTCAGTACCGCGGGTATCTTGCGCGCGCAATTGGCCGACGTCACAGTCGAAACTATTTCTTCACGCGCCAATTTCACCGCATTTCACCTTTTGTGCAAGCACACTATATTTACCGCTAAATCTACTCGACTGTACCTAGACAAGACACCTTTAGTTTGCATTTTGATTCGACCATTTGAAATCTTTGCAAATAAGTCAGAACCTTGACATTAACTGTATAGTGCGACTTTCAATAAATCTCGGCATGATAGTAATATTTTGTTCTTTCTTCTTAAGCCATACACGAGATTGGTAATCGATTTATTTGATCCACGGCTAACGTTTCGGCAGATCGCCTTCGTCAGAGCCTGTAAGGGACAATACGATTCGCATCCAATTCGAACCGGCACCTCCACAGCTGAACAGACGAAATGCTAGACCTCGTTCTCGATCACTAGTTCAGCTGCACGGTCAAGCACGTACCCTTTGGATTACGCCGATACTCCTCTTCAGAGGAAAAGTTGGGTCACGTCGTCCGGTGATAGAGAAAGTTTGACTTGTTAGACGTGCATGCAGACCGCTACTTATATACTACCAGATCAGAATAACTGATCTAGATAAGGAGAAACTTCATGCGTAATCGCTAAGTTTTCCTCTTTTCGGTTCATTCTTGGGTTTCTGGCATGAATCCAAAACGCTTCCAAACACTTACGTGCTTGTGTCTGGGATTCATAGGCCAAGATTCTCACAGAAATCTCAAAGTTTGATCTCGCATGTTGCGCTACTCTGTGGGTGCCTAGGGGTGTCGATGTACGTGCCTTATCTCTGCCGTCTATATGCTCTTTGATACGGATACATAGTGGACGCGCTGTTTCCCCTATGTATTCCTCACCGCAAGTCGTGCATGAGATTAAGTAGATGACTCCAGTTGCCATGCAATCCCCTTCTCTGCTTGCAGGGCAGATTATGCAATTCGGGGTGACACAATTGCGATCATACAAGCGATTGCGAACTAAGATGGTTTTCAGGTTGTTTGGCGGTAGTTCAACAATCGTAACCAAATTCTCAAATCCTACTCTTCTCAAGCACTGTCGCAATGATGCACTTTCTTTAGATATATATGGAATGCAAAATGTAACTTTTTCAGTAACGTGAGGGGCATCTGCTCGCACGTGATCTCTACTGCTGCTCTTTGTTATTCCTGCATGTGTATATCCATTAGAAGCCGCTATACTACGCGCAAGCGCCATCGATTCTGCCTTTTCTTTCGGACCACTACAGACCAGAGAAGCAGTGCGAAACATGTTGTTGATAACTGCTCTCTTCGTCCATGGCGGATGAGCCGAAAGTGAATGGACTAGAATATTTTTAGTGCTGGGCTTACGAAGACAATGAGAGGAAAGCAAATTCAAATCGCTTAGAGTTTTTGACCAATTTTTACTCTTCAAAAGCCTCCGAATGACGTCCAAAGAGCTTATCCCTTGCACTGATGAGACACAAAATTCTGAAGTTGGAGCCTAAAATATTTTTGATTTACCCAAACCTCAAATATCTCCCTGTTCAAATACCGTATACACGTTACTAGTACAAACCAATACGATTCAGTTTTTGTTAAACACTTTCACTATGAGATTCTTGGCAAGAGCAGACCTCGCAGCTCTTTCATGATTAGATATTGGGAGGATTGTGGGCTCAACAACTTGCAGAAAGTTATCCAGAATTAGGCACGCTATAGTTCTAAGTGCGTTACTGATTTGGGAATGTAATTTGCAAGTCTGGCTATAGGCCAGAATTGGAAAAACCTATATTTTTGTAGCAAATTCTTCAAAGGATGTATATGCATAAAAAAATTACTGAAGGACTCGCTGCAGCAAAAAATAATCTAAATGAATGCAGTGTAAGAGGTTAGGAGGTACTAGGGCATGCCGCACCTAAATGAGGGTTTCGAAAGTTTTTGCGTTTGCGTAGCAGATTGACTGACATTTGAACGCTCACAGTTCCTTCCTCATCGAGCAGATGATATACACACATAACCTTTGATTCAATTGGCTCGGCGGCTGAAAGGCTGGGCTTTGTGACTCAATTGAGGCCGCTCGCGTCCGCGACGCAGTCTGCGTTTCTCTCACACGCGTGCTCTTTAACCAATATCTAGCCTTAATAGGTCACGAGGCCCCGCCCTCCAGCCGTCAAGTAAGTTGAATCAAAGGGTACTTCAGAATGAGAGCTTCAAGGCGAGTGCGATGATATACAGCTTGATTGGAATTGGGTTGAGTTCTGATCATTGCCCGTAACTACTTTTAATGTTCCTGGCATCTGCTGGACCCGTAGCAAAAGTGCGGTCAATAGTAACTGTGTATAACTCGCTTTGCAATTCTCGATTGCCAAATGACGAAACTGGAGCTCACTGAGATGAAACCTTACTCGACCAGCACAAGACTCAAGGTATACAAATTTACATATCATCATTCTACGACTAGGAGACGTGAGACCGCATTGAGCCATTGTCTAAACAAGCCCAATCGTGTACCTAGCCGGTTTATACTTGTTATTCATCTCTCCAGATATATTCACTCTCAATAGGTAAGCACAAACTCAAACTTGTTAACACGTTTCGGACCGGTGCTGCACATGGTGCAGCACGCTGCTTTGAAGGATCTTTTTGACGTTTACAGGAGTTTTTCTTTTAGTCCAAGGTTATCAAGTCAAAGATCTAAGCTTCTACTTTTCAAGTGACACTGTAGAGTTGTGTTGCCAATATTTGTTTAGGAGATACAAGCGCAAATCGAACAACAGTTGCAACGAAGTGCGACAACGCGAACGACGGGTGCGACGTCGCAACTTTTCCTTGCTTCGATTCTAAAGAGAAAAACCGTAGTTTCAATACTGATGTGTACCGTCTACAACGTAGATACTTTTGGATACTATTAGAAACTAAGTTCTTGTTCTTATCTTTCAGGAAAACACAGCAGTCCTTCTCAAGCGGCAAAATTCAAACACTTCGAATTCACTCAGAACTTTCATTATGAAACTTATCCGACAAGATGATTACAGATGTAGCACACAGTCTGCGAAATAAGGTCCCTTTGTTGGCTAACTGCTGAAAGTGCACTCTTTTTCGCCGCGCGCGATTTCGCGGTCCGAAACGTGTTAAGACAATGTCTGCAGTGCGGTCTCGCGTCTCCTAGTCATAGAATAGATAACACCTCGCATTAATGGCTCACATCAATGTGAGCCTTCAGGCAGAATTTCCGACTCTCAAAAATGCATCTTCGATTCTGTGCTCAGTCTAGTACGTTTGGCCTAAGCTCTTTCGTTATCGAAATCAGTCATTTGAAGGTGAGTAAGCACAGAAGACATTTTTCAAAAAAAAAATGTAACTGAGCGAAGCAACTGGTACACAATTGCGTTGTGGTGGAAGCAGTTGAAACTTCTTTCAATTTTTCAATATTTTTCGACAAACATTTTCGACACGGGATCGTAATCATTCTTAAGTGATTCATTACCAGAATGCGTTCGCAGCCATTCTTCTAGCATTTACATACGATAAAACCTTTTTGAACGACAAAGACACCGAATTTTACACGTATTAAAAATGAATGATACCTTTGCAAGCATAGAATCTTAGTTTCTATGGTCGCACTCCAGCATTCCGCACAAAAAAGCTTCAGTTTTTTGACATCTCTGATGAAGCTATCTATTCTATCCTTCATATTCACCTGCCAATATATCTCCACATTACAACATCTCGTACATCAAAAACAGTTGATGAAGCTCTTCAAGCTGTGCAGAGATCTCAAATACGAGTCAGCTCCTGATAGCCTTCAAGATTTGGTCCTTTATTCTCAAACGTCGAAATGATTATACCTTGATCAGCAACTAAATAATCGCAAACTTATTTGGGCGTTTATCCGATATGCTAATCCAAATTTAGTACTCGTCGCGAATATTTCTGTGGGGTTAGGTTACCATCGAATGGTGTCTCTTCAAGGCAGGGTCCCGGCAAAAAGATGGGTGCCGGGTTTTTGTGGCGATGTCGCCAACTTTCTCTTCTTTGAAGTCATTATTTGAGTTGATGGAAAATATTCCAAACTTGTACTGATTATCCAACCAATAGTGCTATGCATATTGCTGCTGAGAACAAATGGGTTTCTAGTATATTGAAATTTTCAAACCCCAACTTTCGACTTGTGGTTTATCGAGAATTTCATGACTCCAAAACATCATTTGTTCTTATCAGCAGCATGCTTAGCACTGTTGGGTCGGATAAGCAATACAACTTTGCAATGTTTCCACCAACTTAAAAAGAAAGGAAAATGACTCCAAAGAAAACTCAGTCGGCCGCCGGCGATTATCAGGGGATCATACAAAAAGCTGGAAAATGCGGCTTGTATAGCCTCTCGCTTCTGTTCGATATGTTCATAGTGAAAGATTGTGGAAATAATCACTGATAGGTACACAGCGAAATCCAGATATCCTGCTTCCGCGTTGAAATTTCGGGGGTTAGAAGTGGCAGAGAAAGATCGGACTTTGGCCGATAGGTTTCATATGGGGGCTCCTACCCTGTGACCTTGTTTTGTCACGGGCCTCATTCTGCCGTACTGCTAAGGATTCCCTCTCCGGCGGGGATGTTAATGAATGTGGCACTTATGGGCATTATCTGATTGACATCAATTTATCCGAGTAACATTCGAAAATTGAATAATATTCAACCAAATTCGAAACGAATGACATTCGATACTCAAATATCATCTACTCAAATATCATTCGAAATCCGAATATTCGGAAATTTTAATTTTCAAAAATATTTGGTAGTCGAATATTCGAATATTTCGAGGCATTAGTGCAAATCATCTTCAGCAGATTGTTGACATGACCTTTCTGTGGGCACATAGTAGCTAAGGTCGTGCACATGACTACGAATCAACTTCAAACAAGAAATTCTAGAGAACACCTACGGCAGTATATGGAAATTGCAGATGAAAAGAAAATGGCAGGATTATAATTGGGCAATACTCTTGGTGAGTGTTATTTCTTAGCGATCGTAAAAACGCTGATATTAGTGCTTCACTATGTCGGGATGCAGCTAGTTAGAACAGCTGCTCGAGAAGGAGGTTGGCCGAAGACAGCCAACCTCTGGCAGTGACGCCTCGGCCGCCGGCAGCAACCGGTTGCCTTCCCCCTTTTTCTTTCCCCCTTTTGTATATAATTATTTATAATAAACATTATAGTAACGTATGTAAGCCCGCTACACATCAGGTAAAGGACCTGCAGACCTTTAACCTGACATGGAAGTCCCGGATGGAAGTCCCGGAGAAGATTTTTCTCCTTGTTTTGAGCAATAGTCAAAATTTTTGTTTTAAAAAGAATTTATCCACCCCTCGACATCTATATCGACAACAACTTCCACCCAAGTCACAACGAACGAATAAGTGAGCGTTTCTTTTTATATTTTATAATAAAATGACAACTAATAGCAAGAAATTTTTTTTCCTTCCCTTGGAAAAAAGCTAATACTTCAGAGAAAAGGTACCGAAAAAAAAGTTAGCAAATTTAATGATGGTCTTTCATTGCAATGTTTTCAGAGATACATCTAGTAGTCCAACGAGCAGTGCCATTTGCCCCCAAATTTTTTTTCGAGTGTAATGCATTATTTAGCTCCGTTTTACCGATAAGCTCAAGTAATTCAACAGTCGTGCGTGGCCACAATCGTTTGCTAATCAGCTATGCGTAAAACGTAACCAATTGCAATTTGCAACCACATGTAAAGGTGAAACACGTTAAAAAAAATTTTTTTGTAAGTAGTTATGGTAGTCATAATCGCGCCAAATTTTTGTAGCTTCAAAATTCCTGTGCAGATCTGAAATCAACATGGCAAAAAAAATTGCGCCAGTTTATTTTCCTTTTAGGATTTTTTTTTTCAAAAAAAAGGTTTCGGTAATTTTCAGGCTACTGCAAATTTATTGCATTTTTTGATTGCAAGCGCATTTTCTCTCTATTTCTGGACATGGACCTGCTCGCAATCGTAGCTACAATACAAAATCTGCAGTACAATTCGTCAGGAAAGATAGCATCTGCTGACGTGCCACATACCCGGCTTTACACATAGTCTAGAGCTCTAAATCCTTTATCCCAATCTGTTCCAGCAACTGTCTGCGCGTATTCAAAATAGCAATAAATTTGGTGACAATTGTAGAAGCTAGCAACTGCTGACCTTAGGGCAGTGACAAATATCGCTATGCGCCTGTTTAATGTAGATGACCCCTACACATCTGATTTACGGCGCATCTTGCTGTCTACTGATGCCGAGAAATTGTGCATTGACAGCGACAGCCGCGATCACCATCTCATTCATCGGCAAGCTTGACTAGAGCCCTTAGATCGCGATAACGCGTAATCAGCAGGTTCAAAATTTTGGCTGAAAAAAAACACTTTTTTCTAGAAACAAGGAAAACATTTTTCTTAGTATAATGCAAGACAATCATTTCTTTGCTTCGACAATTCATAGTTGGGTACTTCTAAAAAAAATTTTTTTTTGAATCAAATTTATATTCCACTGACCCTTCAACCTCTTCAGGCCCGAAAAAAAACAACTCTCATCTAAGCAAAAAAAATCAATTCCGATAAAAAAAATCCCAAGCGTAATTTTTAAAAAATATAAACTTTTTTTCAGCCATAACTTTGCTGCATTTTTCCTACTTTTGTCATCAGTAAGTCTAGTACAGATCTGCGGTGAACTTTGTAGACCAATCATTAGGAAAAAAACTTTCATTTAGTTGTGACAGAACATGATGTAAGTAAATGAGATTGGAGAGCGTAAATGATGCTTGAATTCGTTAAAAGCACGACCGCAAACATTTTCGACTCAAAGGAAGTCGCTTATCTGCTTGAAAAGCGTTTTTATAGATACGAAATCTGCTGCGTTATAGTTGAATTATTCTTCTAGTAGAGATACGAGTTTAATGGAATTTAGGATTTTTGAATGCTCATATTTTTTTGAAACATCGCTGTCAGAGCATGTTTCATTACCCCTTCCTGTTCTAGGACCCCTTAGCGTAACTATACAATTGTGTGCAAGAAAAAAAAAAGATTAAGCGCTTACTCGTCCTTTGAACTCAAGGTTCGTGCGCTCACATAAGACTGAGCTGCTCCGTGGTGAACAGTAAACATCCATTTTCAAGGTGAAAGACGGAAATGCTTAATTCAAACTTCTCAATCAGGAAATTTTTGGAAAAATATGCTCTTAACATTTTTTTTCTTGGTTTTTTCCTGTAATGCCGCTCAGTCTTACCCAACCTAATCAAAACTAAAAAGTAGATTGTGGATTTTGTATACTGAGCGATTTCGGAAAAAAATTACTGAAAAAATTAGTTTGGAGACAGAAATTGACTTCGTCTCACTAGCTTAAAAAAGCAATTTCTCATGCCTATCCACAATTCTAGATCTTGATACTACTTTTCTGTTGTCAACTGACTATCCACGGAAGGTGCAGATAAGTTCAGATACCAAAAAAAATTTGTATGCACTCATGATTCTTTTTTTCTATTTTCAACAAACCTTTATCTACTTTCCCGCCAGTTTAAAATCATTTTCGAAAGCATTATGAACAAAATTCTAATGTAACTTCAGTCATTACATTTTGCAAGCCGATGAAAATAAAGTACAAACCATCAAACGTAGTCTTATTCAAAAAAATTTTTTTTTATTTGTGGGTCAGTTCTGATGTTATTCCACTGCAGAAGATTAAGTAAGGTCTTACTCTCACGTCCGATAGTGATGGAAAAACTGTTTCGTATTATGGTCCACATTTTGATAGGTTTTTTAGAATTTGCCAAATTGAATTTTCTTCCACGAAATCGTACGTTTCCTCTTGTCGATGATTTTTCTTAGATTTTCTTGTTCCTGACAGAAGTGCATTTCCCTTCTTTATTTTGAAATATAAGCCTTTCGAGAATGAAGTCCCTACTGCACGGCACGCTTGGAAAACCAGCATTATTTAGCAATTATTTGCCAAACTGAATTGTTCATGTTTGTGGTAAAGCGCTATGTCTTAACCTAAAATGTCATTAGACTGTTCATTCCTTACTCTTTTTTTGATGCACATCTCAGTTGTTTAGTGAAGCAATATCTAATTTTTGGAAAAAAATGTACAAATAATAGTATAAATTCGAAAAAAAAGTCCTGCGAACAGTCCCAAAGGTCGATTAATAAATTTTTCCCAAATCTAGATAAAAATAAATAAATAAAAAATACCGAGACCCGAGACCCGAGACCCGAGACCCGAGACCCGAGAGCCATGATTTTTCTTTTTCAGATCTTTTCTTGTAAACCGTGTTTTATTTCTTCGAAACCGGAATTTTTTTAAAGCATTAAGTAATTCCCCATAATTTTTTTCTCTTTTCTTTCTCTTCCCTCTTCTATTTTCCAATTTTTTCTAATTTGGTTTCAAACCGTAATTCTTTCCCCTCTTTTACACTCTTTTCTGTAAATAGCAATTTTCCGAGATCCGCGACCCGAGACCCGAGATCCGAGAACCGAGATCCGAGATCCGAGAACCGAGATCCGAGAATTTTTTTTGAGTAAAAAAGGCAATTTCCTATCTGACTACGGACTTGTTCGCATTAGCTAGCTCAAAATAAGACCTAAGGTATACCTACGCCCTACAAATATATTATTTATTTTTGTTAGGTGCTCTCGTAAATCAAGTCGCTGTTACATCTAGCGCGGAATGTTCCTCCAAAATAATTTAAAACGCGCCTGTCCGAGGTAGATGTCAGCAAATCCATGCCTGCCAAATTTCGTACTTGCTTTGTTACCCAAGATGGCGATCTAGGCTTATACAGAGGTCCCATAACCCATAGAATCAATTTCGTCCCTCATGCTAACGTTCCAAAACAGAGACCATATCGTGTCCCACTGGAAAACGAAACGAAATTAAGCGTCAGATTGATGAAATGTTACGTACTCGTACCATTGAACCAAGCACCAGTAAGTTCGCTTCTCCCATAGTTCTTGTAAAGAAAGGATCCAATAAGTATCAGTGGCGTTTTACTGTTGACTATCGCCAAATCAATGCTATCACAGAAACTGAAACCTATTGCATACCACATATGCAAGATATTTTAGATCTTGCTAGTGGCAAAGAAATTTACAGTGTCCTTGATTTCAAAAGCGGATTTTTTCAAATTCCTTTAGAGAAAAAGCACAAGGAACGCACTGCATTTTCTTCTTTCATAGGCTTATTTCAATTTACTGTCATGGCGCAAGGATTAAAAGGTGCACCAGGAACTTCTCAACGAGTCGCAAATTCTTTAATTAGAGAATTGAAAGCTTGTTGCTTTGCGTATATTGATGATATCATAATCGCTAGCTCCAATGTACCCGAACATTTTTGCGATTTGGAGGAAGTTTTCACGCGCATACAAAACTTTGGGATGAAACTAACTCCTGAAAAGTGCTCATTTTTTCAATCTGAAGTGCAGTATCTGGGTGTACTAATAAGTAAAAATGGTACCCGCCTTAATCCCAAAAAGGTAGATAGCATACGAAAAATTTCACGCCCTACGGACACCAAAGCGCTTAAATCATTTCTAGGAGCCGCATCTTACTTTCGAAGATTCATCCCCCGTTTTGCGATAACAGCAAACCCCTTGAACAATCTTCTCATAAAAGATGCAGCGTTTAACTGGAAGGAGGATCATGAAAAAAGCATTCCAAGCACTAAAACAAGCTCTAGTGGAAGCGCCTGTTTTAGTACCTCCCATGTTAGGAAACCCCTACATCATCCACACCGATGCATCAACCATCGGTCTCGCCGCATGCCTCTTACAAGTTAATCCGGAAACTAGTAATGAGCATCCCATTGCATATTGCAGCCGGCCCTTAACAAAACACGAGAAGAATTATGCGATCATAGAGTTAGAAGCCCTGGCAATAGTTTTTGCCTTGAAACACTTTTATCCTTATGTCGCGAATTACCATTACCTTAATAACTGACCATGCGCCACTAAAATCTTTAATG